CGACTACGTGCACTATGGAGGTACAAATCAGTTACAAATACCCTGAAAAACGTTCAGGCTGCCAGCGTATTGCTACGGAGATATTGCACTTTTACGGTATGTTTTTAAATGAATGTCGTGGTCCCTCTCAGGAAAACCAGAAAAAATGATTTTCGAATTTCGACTTGAAACTTTACATAGAAAGAGATCTTACTGAGAATAGTGTTTTATGAAAGTTTCAGATCTTGTCGCTGTTCCTATTCTGAAATGAGAACATGAAAACTTTTGGTTTATCTGAATTAAGTTACCATAGTTGTATCTACGGATAGGAACAGCGACAAGATCTGAAACTATCACAAAGCACTATTCTCAGTAAGAACTGTTTCTTTGTAAAGTTTCAAGTCGAAATTCGAAAATCATTTTTTCTGGTTTTCCTGAGAGGGACCACCGCATTCATTTAAAAACATACCGTAAAAGTGCAATATCTCCGTAGCAATACGCTGGCAGCCTGAACGTTTTTCAGGGTATTTGTAACTCATTTGTACCTCCATAATGCACGTAGTCTCAACACAAAAGCGATTGATCAGTTGGGGACTTTCCCTCGTAAGTAAAATGCCACGGAAAACAAGAAATATCATTCGAATCAGATTCATATATTTGACTCAATCGTTCTTCGTTGTGCCTTTCATTGTTTATTTTTTCGAACAGCACACTGATCGAATTGCTTGCCAACAAATGATTATTGGGTTATCGGGGATTTACATAATTGGAATACTCCTTTGTTAAATGACAATACGATTGGAACCAAGCTACAAATATTCAAAAGTCTGATACAATCTTCTAAACTTATCTATTGAATATCAACTATCTAATTGTCTTCTGTTCAGTTGTGAATCTTTGATTGAAATATGACTATTAAAACTGATGAAAAACATGTTGACTGACTTCCTTCTTTCTTAATTATTTCGCTCTATCATATTATTAATACTATTCACAGCAAAACGTTGCGTCAATGGCATGACATCGTAAAGTATCATCGTTTAATTGATTACGAAAACTCAGTGGGATTTGTCGAAATAGAACACATACTTTCGTCGCTCAAAATTATTTGAGAATTAGATTTTGAAACTCGCAATGTTTATTTCAATAGAGTATGAAAAACATCCAAGTAAACGGTTTTTTCAAATATAGTTTTCAAGTTTTTTTTCTGAAATAAATAGATGAATTTAGCCACTAGCAACAATAAAATCATCATTGCAAGAAAAGACAATCTATGAAAGAATGTTTATCTGAAATCACATATGGAGAAAGAGTGAATATATATCTAACCAATTTTAAGTTCCAATCAGCTCTGTTTCATGGAACTAAAACCGTCTTTCCATAATTCAATCGTCTATAAAAATTTCGAGAGCATTACCGTCCTTCTTTTAACCGTTATTATGATTGTGCTTCATTTGATATAATATGCAATCTTGATAAGTACTCTTTTCGCTGAGGGTTTTTCATGCTTCTGTAATGCGTTCATTGCATGTGTTCGATAGATTCAATTTGAACAAAGTGTACCGCTGTTTTTCTCCAGATCATTGATAAAAACTACGACAAAACATCAGATTGAGAAGTTATTCATCTATTTAAATATCGAACACTTTGAGAAGGTTTAATGCCTGCTGAACACAATAAAGAGTACGGGAAACGCCAAGTTTCATTCGGTCCTTTGATGACAACGCTAGAGAAAAAAAGTTAATACCAAAAATACTATCTATAAATATGGTTGTTTAATGTTACAGATATGCCACAAGACACAACTATGCTTTTACTGATTCATTGGTAAGCAAAAAACAGTGTAGAAACGAAGTCAATATAGAATGTATTTCGGCAATGAATTGAAAAGATATATACATATATAAACCCATGAAAATAACACTTCTTTTGATTTTTGAGCAAAATTGATTCATCAGAATCATTTGAAAAATTTCATATACATATTCAAACTTTCCATGATTCTTTACCATTTTTTCCAAAAATACATTGGTACACACATTTTGCATATAGATACTACGAACAGAATATAAAATTTCTGTAATTTAGAATGAAATTTCATCGATCATGTGGAACTTGTTATCATAGAATAGATTTCAAAGCATTTGAACAGGCTCTTTGTTTCCTCAGGATTTGTTTTTTCTGCTTACCTAAAGAATAGAATGAAGTTGCGTACAGTGTTATCATACTTTTCATTTTATTGTGTATAACAATGATGAAAAGGAGCACAAATATAAAAAGAATAATCAGAAATATATTTAGATCATATTACGATAAATTAACAAATGACAATAGCTTGAAATGTTAGAGATCTTGGGTTTACAAATCTGATCGATTCATAGGAATTAGTGATCACTACATTTCTCTCTCGGAAAGTCCATCAGTAAAATTCATTCTTTTAGTTTGCAAACTGAGCATAAATGCATTCGTCATATTCTTCTGTCGTCAGCTAAAATGAAATCAAAGGTCATTTGATCTAGAAAAATGTCAGTCTTGTTATAATTATTTCTAATAAACGTTCTATAAGTAACAGGTTGCGGTGTGGCTGTAGGTCTGGATGTGGAATGTGAATGTGGGTACCATAGAAGAAAAGATCCACACACTGATGTTCCTGTTTCGTCGAAAAATAAAACGGAACGAAAAAATGTGGGATGTCATCGGCTTATTATAAGTTTTTTATTTTCTAGAGTAGGCTGATTAGAAAGAATGATATTGACAGTTACTTTGAGAAACTTCATTCGAGAAACTTATGAGAATTACTCATAGAAGGTATTCGGCAAGAAAATAAGGGAAAGAACTGAAATTTTTTTAACTACGAATAGCTTCCATACATCTCTCAATCTACATCCCACACCCACACCCACACCCTATTTTTATTTTTTCGACGAAACGAGAATTCACTAAAAACCTGTAGTTTTCTTTTTGAAAATAATTCAACGTTCATTTAAATTTTTGAGACAATTTTCTTTTTATTGTTAACATTTAATCACACAGCGTATTAGGTTCAATGGTATCATAAGTCTAATGGAAATATAAGTGTCATATTATTGACTCTCATAATACTTAATATTGAAAAAGACTTAATTAAATCAATACGCTGAGTAAAAACTTGCCTCTCAATGATTCACACTGACTTTATCAATAAAATCGTTTGAAAGAAGAACTCAGTGCTCTTGTCATTCGTCTGAGTTTGTCCTTGATAAATAAACAATAGGTAATTCTTTTTTTGTATGGGGAGAACTAACCCGAGTTTTTGTCGCGAAGCCTATCATTGTCAGTAAATAAAATATAATGAAAATATAAACATTTATTAAAATTTTCAAATTATGAAAAACTATCTGAGAAGGGTTCCTTCCAAAAAATCTCCTTTCAATAAAATTTTTCTTTTATAAGACAACGAACTGACTTTCACACATATATGAAAGAATAATGAGGTTTGCATTTATCAAAAGCCAAGAAAACCTTAAAGTAAAATCTGGTTTATATTGAAAATTTTAATAAATTTTAGAGGTTCAAAACAGGATACTCTTGATTATTGCTTCAATGTTGACTGTAAATTAAGCATTGGATTATTGTTTCGGTATCTGCAATTGTTCAGTGGACTGTTGTTGAGACCGTTGCTCTGCTTCTTGCTTGAACATCCTGTGTTGAGCATGCGCTGGTAGACCTGGATTGAGGTTTAACGCATACGGCAATAACATCTTTTGTAAATCTTCAAAATCAACCATAATTTTGATAAACATAGTATCATCTCTGACATAAGGATTTCCCTCTTGTTGACTCATTGCCAATGGGAAAAACTTCGGGATACCACTGGCAATGTTCATATCAGATCGAGGTCGTTGAAAACTACTCGATCTAATATCTGGTCGAAATGAATCGATAATATGTCGTTGTGTAGATGTTTGATCATACAAACAAAATATAATTTTATGGTTGAAGGGAAACTTGAGAATTGGATCGTTCGAACTTCGCATGAGAACAAGAAAGAGTGACATGTGTGTATGACGAGCATTTCCATCACCATTTAAATATAGACGAGCTCTCATTTTATATCCAGTAGGTGAGGAATAAAATGGAGGTGAATAAATTGATGTTTGTCTTTCAGACTGTGCATAAACTAGGAATCAAACAAAACAAAAAATATGCGAAGAAAAGTAGAAGCAATTATATAAGTATATAGCCGATCGATAGCATTGATGATTTATTTCAGTAACTTATCAACAGATTATCTAGTTTTTACCAGAAATGGGCACTGTTCGGATTTTTTAAATTTTGAACCGAATCGAACCGAAAGACTTTTTTTATTCCGCTAGAAACCACCCATAAAGGACAACCAGGTAAAAATTGAATTTTTTTTTAGTTCTTCCTGTTCAGTTTCGAAGAGCTCCTCTCCCTAATTCAGATTCATATTTATAAACTATAAAACAGTTCTGGTATTTCAATCGACACAATCGTTGATGTATAAATCAAGGTATGATGTGAACATTGAAGAGTCGTTTTGTTACAGTAGAACAGCTTCTCTGGAGAGCTGTTCATTGCTAGTGAAACTCAAGAATAATTTTTCAATTGAACGCTAATTTCGTTTAAAAATCATTGTCCTATGATAGATCATCAAAAACAAAATGGATCTAACATGGATTCAGTGACTTGTTTGAGTTTTATGGCAAAGTGTTTTCTGGATCAACATTTGACTAATAACTCCATCTCAGATCTGCCACTGATTCAGGCCAAACCTGGATTCGTCGGAATTCACGATCATGGTGCAACTCATTCTTCCTATTTTTTATTTAAATAACTGTATCAAAAATAGAAATAAATAAATAAACATTTCATGGAATATAATGCGTGGAAAACTTTTTAATATCGAAATACATTTGATTTTCATGAGCCCAAAATAGTGAAAACATGAAAAAAAACATGATTTTAACATTAACGTTAATCAAACATAAAGCCAAGTTTATGTGTACCTAGTGGCAGATACAGTATAATGTTCAATTAATTCATAAAAATACTGATCAAAAAAATTAAGCTTCAAAATCTCTTGAAAAGTTGTAAAAAAGGAAAATATTCTTAGTATCGCTCTGGACGTTCGAAAACGCTCGCCTTCCTCTTTTTCCCCTCCAGATTTGTTCAGTTTTGAAGAGATCTTTCATCTAGACGTCCTTATGGATGGCTCTCGAAACATAATTATAATCATACGATCTTTAATTCAACTTCTTCCACTTGTTCTGAATGATTGATATAAAAAATCAAGGTGCATAACATGAATGCAGTAGAGCGCTTAGGATGATTTTCCAATATCGATAAAAAATTCAGTTCTTTCTAGTAGAATAGACTTAAAAACGAGCTGATTCTACCTTTAAAAGGCTTCAAAACATTTTTCATGATCATGGTAGTTCCCACCTTAGCCGAAGAGTCTCATATCATAAAACTCTTAAATCTGCCATTGGATATGTTCGATGATTATTGAAATATGAATATGTTTTTTTCTGAAATAAAAGTATAATTAGTTTACTTTCGACGTTTTCTTTTTCTTAGAATGGATGAAAAGGCAGAAAGATAATGATATACCTACTTTCATCGCTACTTATTACATTCTTTTATTGTTTTTAATCTACATCTCTTTAAACTGGTCTAAACGGCATAAATTTGACTAAGAACTAAGCCGAATCGTGTCCATCTATGGTTTTACTTTCATCCATATACATCTATTATACTGAATGTGAGGTACAATCGCTGATGTATTATTTGACGAGACCATAGAAATCGAATATTATTGTATTCATTGATTTGCTTTTCTATATAATATTCTACTTGATCAATGAATATAAGACTAATTCTTTAACTTACTCATTTTCTCTTGAAAACTTGTAATTTTCCACACGAATGTTCCATCATATGAAACACATTCCAAATCATTAATTTTTTCTTGCAATGATACAAAATCGTGATTGAGAATATCTTGATTGTATTTCATTGCTTCCAAAAACATCTTCGATTCTTCAATAGATAATTTAACTTTCGATGATTCTTCTGCCAATGTTGAAAGTGTAATTTGCATTTGAAGTGATTCATTATTCAGACGTTGTTCGTCGATTGCCAATGTTTCAATACCACCTGTCAGGATATTGAGCATTTCATAAAACTCTTCTAATTGACACGTAGCAGGAGTGAAAGTTTCTGTAGTTGTTGCTCATGGAAGATCAATATGTATTTGTTGATCATTGGATTGCAATGACGACTGACGAATAAGTTTGATTATGGCATGTTGATGTCGTTCACTCAAATAATGATCTTTTATCTTAGCACGGATGATCTAATAAAACCCAAATTTGTTGATATTAGTTTCACCTAGAGAAAAAAACATACTTGTTCATTACAACCAAAATCTTTCAATTTACATTGAACTATCATCTTTTGACATTTAGAGACTTTATGTTCATTGAAATCGTTAACTGAGTTAAAATGTTCGTGACAAAATTCACATGTCAGATTTGGATGAGATTGATCAAGATGCTCCTTTCAAAAATAAAACGAATAGAAGATTTAGAAATAAAATAAATACGAAATAAAATACTTGATAGTTATTCAAGACACCAGTCCATTGGCAAAAGGAACACTCAACGGGTAGTGATTTCATATCGTTTTTGAAGCCTTGATCCGGCAGAATCTAAAAAAATATATTCTTTCTTTAATCGTGACAAGATATTTTACCTTCACTCTTAATGTTTCTAAATGGCATTGCAGACATTCAATTATTGCTCTTCAAAAGGCACAATACAGAATAATATTTTATATTGACGACAAAACTTACTCTTGTTCAGCATTTAAACATGTTTGACATTGTCGATGGCCACATTCAATTAATTGTACAGGATCTCGTAGTATCAATGAACACACACAACAAATATATTTATTATCTAGACTATATATATTTCTTGCATCAACGCCTACCATTATTTTAATTTTATTTTTCGTCAATTAAAGTATCAATAGAAGAAAATTTTCAGCAACGTCACAATCAATTAAAGTAGATTAGTCTCTGAAAAAGTGAGCGAAGAAAAAATGTTGTTTGAATTAAAAGATTTAATACATATTATATCTAGAAAGCACATGTTTGTATTAAAATATGATAAGGTTTTGAAGTTTTCAAGATAAAAAAAAGTATTGAGGAGTATGAGATGATTTAATTTACTATAATTAGACAGATTAAACTCTTGATTTGATTGTCAAAGGTATGAGTTTGGATGTGGATGTAGCAAAGTAGGATATCCACATATATCTCCAGTCTATATATCATCATGTATGAAAATAGTCTGCCACAGTCTGTAGAAGAATAGACCGAGAAAATGAAAATTTTTACTTCATACACTTCAACTTTTCTCTCAGTACTTGTTGCAAAAAAAATGATTCAATATCTATGCGCATACAAACGATGTCGATCATTCACAGTTCAACTCACTTAATAATGATATTATTAATACTAGAAATTTTTTTTTGTATCTTTTTCAAACAATGTTTGAGGATTTTAGGTGTGTTGATCTGGGTCTAAATGTGGGTATGTATGGATAGATGGCAAGAAACAGAAAATCCAACACTATGTGAATATAAAATGATGAATTTTTATATGGAAAAGTTAACTAATGCTTGATTCGATTTCATTAAAGATTAATTTCAAAATATTGATATACATAAACTATTTCTTATACGTTTTGACTTATTCATATCGAACAAAGTATTTTGTAACTTAGATAAGTGTAGAACAATTCGATGAGAAATTCATCTACTGGATATTTTATTTTCTTCGCATTCTCCTAAAGCAAAAGTCTAAACATATTCTCCAAGTAAATATGATAAGCAATCATGTATTGCCTCTCATTTTTTATTTAATACCAAAAAATAAAATTCCTGCTCAGGTGTGCGGCCTGTTTTCCTTCAATTTCGACTTAATTTTGTTGAAGAAACAATTCTAATCATCTTTTCTATCTAAATGAATAAAAATTTTTTTTTGAAAAAAAAGCTTATTCATCGGTAATAAGAAAACAGAAGTCAGACTTTTGTTCAAGTGAGAAAATTATTGTGTTTCTTTGAAAAAAACAAGAATGGTGGAGGGGGGGGGGGTGAAATGTTCTAAGAATTTTCTAATTATTTTTTATCTCATCTTGTCAGAGCAATTTATTCAGAAAGCTCATGTTTTTTATATAAAATAGTCAAATACGTCTCTTCTCGAAAAGAAAACTAGTATTTATTTGCTTTACTCTGACCAAATGATTTGAAAATGTTAAGATTTAAAATAAAGACGTTCAGCACCATTGCTCTCCAATATTATCGATAGTCTCAATGTAGAAATATGACTTATGAGAAATTTTATAAATAAAAAGCAACACTTTTATTCTACTGAGGAAATAAACAGAAAACGATTTTCTTTTGCTTATTGTTCGATACTGACACACAGTTTACTCGTCTATAAGCGACATGAAGAATATTTCTCGGTCGGAAACATGAAAAGCACAAATATTATACGAAAGTCAGTATTATTTTTTTAGGAAACTCCTCCTTTCTCACAGATTTTCATGGATAGAGCGTCAGTGATTGATTTTGGAAAATTTTTCTTGTGATTGTACTAAACTACAACTCTAAATATTAATCATTGGGCTTCATCGCGTCTTTGTGTGTTGTATGAGGTGTATACTAATGTGGGAATGTATGAAGCTATCACATTAAAGAAAGCTAATACACATATCGAAAATTAAATTCAGACATATTCCATTTTACATTATGCACAAATCTGCAAAATAGCTTGTTTTTGTGACTAGATATAGTACTCATCTTTTCTTATTCAGACTGTAACACATTCCACCTATGGCTTTTTCCATGTCGACATCAGAAAATAACTTACAAAAGTATCTCTATGAGTCGGCAAAAATAACATTTTAAATTTTTTCGTGTCCGAAATTCCAAGAGAACACATTTATTGTTCTATTAAATGAAATTCGTAACGTAACTTATCTTTTATTTCTTTGATTGAAAAAAACCTGGACAGAACCTGACAAGATTACATATGTATACATTACATATCATTTGTGAATCATGAAAAATTCGAAAATGAATGAATATCTATAAGAAAAACAACTACTCAAAAAGCATAAGCTTTAAAATCGTTATTTTTCTTTATGTTCAGAACTTGCTAAAAGGGTGGGTGTGGATGTGGGTTGAGAAAACAGTTACCCACATTCACACCACACACGAACTGATGTAGTATTTCTGTGGGAGTAATTTCTGAAATTGAATAATTTATGAGGGAAATTTACTGTTTTGGATTTTTGAACAGTGCTGCAAATGATTCAAGGTTCTTCAAAGACTATATTTGATTATAGACTATCAGTATGGTTATTACATTGAAATTTTGAAAACTACCTTCATCCAGAAAAGATATAATTTGAGATGAAAAACGAAAACGAGAACGAACACGAAAAAGAACCAAAGCTTTATTGATACAATAATTGTACAGTTAAATTTTTCCCTTAGAATTTAAATTAAAAATTCAGCAAAAATGTTTTTTCTTTCTACATTAAATTATTTTCAATAAACTACTTAGCATATAAATAAGAGTCATAAGTTTATAGAGGTATATAAGATTAGTGCTTCAGTTTTATATGTTTCGTTTTATTCTATTGTACGTAAACCTCAATTTGCCTGATAAAAATATGTATGCAGAACACATGCAATCTTTAGTTTGAAAGGAGGTATCAATTTTTGGCGATTCGTTCTGCTCTAAGCTAGGAGATAAGTATGTTTTCTTTCTTAATAGAGCTGCATGAAATTTTTCTTTCAGTTTTATTGATGTAGTCTTAGTTTTGGAAAGAAAAAAAGAAATCAATCAGTTTCTTTCACGAAAACCCAAAGAGAAAAAGTTAAATTAACTTAGGATTGCAGGAAAAAGCACTCAATCACTTATATATTTTCATATTTGGCTACGATAAATCGGAAGCATGATTTATTTTTGTACATACGTTGTCTAAAAAAAATAGAACAGAGAAAAAGAATATTACACTGTAAGTTATCATTCTTACAATATTGCGAGAACATCCTGCTTAGTTGTTGGTTTCTTTTTGTGATGATTATAAACATGTAAATCTTAGTTGTCGATAGGTATAACTAAGTATTTATAATAAATGATCTTTATGTAAGTTGGAAAAAACCATAGGCAAGAATCACCATTAGTTATGAGAATAAATCTTCCAAGAAAATAATCTCTGTGAATTTGGATAGAGCTGAAGGAGGAAAGGAAAAAAAAAACATTGGAAAATTCCTTTTTTATTATATACGAACAGTGGCTTATCCAGGACTTTTCCGTATGCAGGATCTCAGCTTCAGAGCATGGAATTCAGATGAAACTTATAGAGGATGATATACCTGTCAATTTTTTGCAACAAGTTTTGCGACATGTGGCAAAATTCAAAACGTTGAAACTCTTGAAAGGATGCATATTTTTAGATAAAATTTTAAATCTGCCGATGCAATTTGATGTAGATTACGATTAAATTCTAAAAAACTGATTACTACTAGAAGCAAAAAATTGACTGGAGAGACCAAAAAAATTCTTTTTCGCGAACTTCGATCGAAAAAACTTTTGATGAAAAGTCATCATTTGGATCCAATATCATCCTCTATAAATTTCATCTGGATTTCATTCTCTAAAGTTAAGATCCAGCACACCCAAAAATTCTGGATAAGTCACTGGATACGAAACTAATTGTTCCAAGAGATGTTCCGAGAATCTCGTTGTATAAGCTAGTGAAACATTTTATTTTTTCAATACATAAGGTAACAAACGAGCACTTTTACTGCATTATCACTGACACCCAAATAACGACATGAATCCATGTGACTCACATAAAATTAGTCACTACAAGGCGTTGTACGCGAAAAGTATTACAAAACGATAATCATTGTCAGATGTTCTTTTCTGTATTAGTGTCGGCACACGAAAGATGTATAGGTGATTTGTTTTTTGTTAATGTTAACAAGACGTCAATCTAATAACTAGTAGCGATCGTATGAATGTGGTTGTTGTTTATTCTAACAGACTATATAACACAGCATAGTACATAACTAAGAAAATAAAATATATCCAAATGGTTTATCCTTCTATCCAATAAAGAATTAGTGAAGATTCATCAATTTAACAGGAAATGATGAGAAAATCGTACTCGATCAGTACGTTCATCTCATATTTCCAATTAATATACAAGAAACTAAATTAAGTTTTCGAATTATTTAAACTGAATCTTTTATTGACATGATGAACATGAAAGTTGATTCTCTGAATCTTTCAGCTGATTTCGAAACTTAAATGCAGTTCTTTTTTCCCATTCTTTTGCTGTCATCCTCAATGGGCTGAAGCGCTTTGTATGTAACTTGTGTGAATTTTGTAAAAAAAGGAAATAAAGTGCCGGAAATTCAAATACTTTCTTGGGAAAATCATATAACACATTAACTTAGTCAATCAATAAAATTACAATTGTACTCATACATAGAAGTCTAAGAAAATTAATATTCGGGATTTCAGAAAAAGCATTGAACATAATAACTAAATAATATTTTGCTTTCATAGGCAATATAGTTCAATGATTTCTG